TAACTTTAGTTATTGTCTAATTTAAGTAGTCTACCGTATAAATAATTAGACCACTCGATTAGTTCTACATTATGCTACCATACCTGTAACTCATCTGTAAGTTACCTATTTAAATACTCTGTTTATTAACCCATACAGATCTAACCTAACATTACTGCAATACCTAACTGCTTAAGCTAGCTAGCTCATTACAGATCTATTTATTCAGAATGGCTTAGGTTCTCTCAGGATACATTGTACCTAATACATTGTAAGTATCGCAGAGCCAGTTAATCTTAAAGCATACCTACTAGAGTGGTCTGTACCTATTTTACAAATTCACTTAGCTTAGACCCTTGTAGATATTTGTACAACTCCAGTTTCTATCATAGCTCTCTACTAGTTTTCTGTATTCTATAATCTCAGATATTTCATAAAGCAGATTCTCCTAATCTAGTTAGCCACCAAGCCAGATTGGTATTACTGATCCTTCCTGTGAACTAGATTTATACGCATCTGACTCGATCTACATCTTTTGATGATAGTTTCCTTTCTGAATTAAGCATTAGCTAGTATAACTATCAAAGGCTGTACTACTTCACCAACTCAGGATTTCTACTATGCAGATCCCTTGTGTATAGATCTTATCAAGATTTATTCATGTAATGTTATATTTTGCCAAACACCTTGTCACACTTCTAATATCTGGATGATATTGGTGCAATGTGTTTTACAGGGTTACAACTTCAGAAACGAACAGGGTTTACCATAAGTTAGGTACAAAGGTCCAGGTAATTATTCAAATTTGTTGACAGTAGGATTTGAACCCCAGACCTCTTGCATAGTGGTTTGGCAACCTAACCACTATACTAAGATCGCCAGACCTATAGATTTAAATTTTTACAAATTAATCATAAAAATTATAATAATAAAAATTATTTCTTTTAATAAATTTTATTAAATTATGATTTATTAAAATAATATACTTAATAGATAACAAATTAATTAAGAATAAGTAACAAAATTTTAAAATATTTTTAAAATAATAAAAATTTTCTAAAATTTTAAAATTTTAATATATATACAATTTAAAATTTTTTTCTTATAATTTAAATACAAATACTACAATTATATAATCCTTATTTTCAAAAATTATTAAAAAAAATTAAATTTAATTATCTCAATTTTTTAAAAAATTATATTATAAATATTTTTATTAAAAAATTAGAAATAAATTTGCCTTAAATTTGTATACAGATTAAGGGATAAGTTTCTATAACTTTATGCTACTATACTTTTATAATATATCTAGACTAATATATATTACAAACTTTATTATTATATGTTTAAATTTTATCTAGATAAGTCTTACTTTAATACTCTTTAATATATAGATACTATAATATTTAACTATACTATTTTATAATCTAATTTAACTTGTATATACTCTTATTTGATATTTGCATGAATCTAGTTCCTGCTATAGTTTTTTACTAGATTAGACTTTTATGTTTTCTGAATATTTTATGAGATTGATCCTTTTAATCTAGTTAGTTATTAAACTAAGTTAATATTATTATTATTTTTTTTTTTTTGTTATTAAGGCCACTTCCTTAGCTGATTAGATTTTTATTAGTTTGTTATTACAGAACTATCACATGAATAGTTTTCTAAGGTTTTACAGTTACATGATGAGTATACAACAAGCCACATGTACAACTTTAGTCATTGTTTAATTTAAGTAGTCCGCTATACAGACGATCGACCATCTGTTTGTTCTACACTATGCTGCCATACCTGCAACCTGCCTGTGAGTTTTCTATTTAAACACTCTGATCATTAACCCTTCCTCCCATCCCAAACTAATGTCACTACTATGACCAACTGCTGATGCTAGCTGGTTCACCCACGGATCCATTTCTCTGCACAGCTTAGGTCCTCTCGGGATGCATATGCTCAACGTATTGTGAGCCACAGAGCTCCAGTTAACCTCAGAAGAAATTCCTACCAGAGTGGTCATATGCTCATTTCACAGATTCACCTGAATTAGACCCTTGTCGATGTTCATACAAACCCAGTTCCTGCTGTGGCCGTCCACTAGATATAGTCCTCCAAGTTTCAGTCAGATGTTTCACAAGGTAGATCCTCCCAATCTAGTTAGCCGCCAAGCCAAGTTGGTGTTGCCACTAATGCAAGGTACTAGGCTATGTTACATAGCAGACTTACTTGCATCTATCAATCTCACATCCTTTGTACTCAAGTTTTTCACTGGATTAGGCGTTAACCGGCTTAACTGTCAAAATCTGTACTACTTCACCAAACTCAGGATTTCTACTATGCAGGTCCTCTGCCTGTAGATCCTATCAAGATTTATTCGCGTAATATAACTTGAGCATTGCGTCACACTTCCAATGTCTGATTGACATTAGTGCAACGTGATTTACAGAGTTGTAACCCCCAGAAACGAGCAGAGTTTATCGTAAGTTAGGTACAAAGGTCCGGGTAATTATTCAAATTCATCGACAGTAGGATTTGAACCCCAGACTTCTTGCATGGCGATCTGGCAACCTAACAACTACACTAAGATCGCCAGATCTTAACTAAGTTAATATTATTATATCATCTAATATAATAAATTTATTTATATCTATTTGATCTATATTTTTTATATACAAACTTCTTTACTAAATTAAGTATTAACTAGAATAACTATTAAAATCTATACTACTTTATTTAACTCAGAATTTCTACTATACAGATCCTTTGCTTATAAATCCTATTAAGATTTATTTATATTATATAACTCCATTATTGCATCATATTTCTAATATCTAATTAATATTATTATAATATAATTTATAAGATTATAACTTCTAGAAATAAAAGAGTTTATTGTAAGTTAGATATAAGATTTGAGAAATTATTCAAATTGTCAGAGTAAAATTTAAACTCTAAATCTATTATATAGTAGTTAAACAATCTATTTACTATACTAGATTACTAGATTTAATAAACTTTATTTTTTAATTCTAATTTAAATATTAAAAAAAAATTATAGAAAATATATCTCAAAATTTTTTATAAATTTTATATTTAAGTATTTAAAATTTCTATTATTAGTTATTTTTAGCTTTAATTATAATATTTTATAATAATTATAAATAATATTAAAAATATAATAATAGATCTAGTAATCTTAGTATAATAGTTAAATTGTTAAACTATTATACAAAAGATCTAGAGTTCAAATTCTATTATCAATAAATTTGAATAATTACTTAGATCTTTATACTTAACTTATGGTAAACTCTGTCTATTTTTGAGGTTGTAATTCTGTAAATCATATTGTACTAATATTATTCAGTTATTAGAAGTATAATATAATATTTAGAGAAACATAATATTATATGAATAAATTTTAATAGGATCTATAAATAGGAAATTTGCATAGTAGAAATTAGAGTTAGTGAGTTAGTATAGCTTTTAATAATTATTTCAGCTAATACTTAATTCAAAAAGAAACTATATTCAAAGATATAGATTAGATTAGATATAAATAAATCTATATTATAGTAGAAATCACTATATATTATAGTAATACTGATTTGACTTAGCAACTAACTAGATTTAAGAAAATTAACTTATAATATACTTAGTAAAATCAGAAAATATATACTAGTAAAAAGCTATAACAAGAATTGAGATTATATAAATATTACAAAGATTTAAGCTAAATGAATTTATAAACCTTTTAGTAAGTTTATTTCAAGATTAATTAAAGTTTTGCAAGCTCACAATATGTTAAACAATATATATTCTAAAAAGATCTAAGCTAAAGTTAGTAAATAGATCTGTAATGAGCTAGTTAGCTTAAATAGTTAGATATTATAGTAATATTATATTAGTCAAATAAATTTATATTAATATAATATTATAATTTATTAATATATTGATATTCTGATATAAGACTGATTTTAAACAGATATTTGGTTTAAATAGAATATCTTTTAGTAACAAATCAGATTTGAAAAAATTAATAGAGCTATTAATATATTGATATAGCTATTAGTTAAATATTATGATAAACCTAATAGTTATATTGATATACTAATAGCTTTATTAGTATACTAATAGCTCTATCAATTTTTTAAATCTGATTTATTACTAAAAGATATCCTATTTGAGCTAAATATCTATTTGAAATCAGTATTATTTTAGGAATATTAATATGCTAATAGGTTATAATATTATACTAGTATAAATTTATTTGACTAATATTAGTTTATAATAGTATGAGTTAGTTAAACAAAGTATTTAAATAGATAACTTACAGATAAGTTTAAGATATAATAGTATAGTATAGTACTAACAGATAGATGGCACTTATTTCACAAAACTCAACTTACAGACATGCTACTTTATAGACAATCAATTCACTAACAAACTTATTTCATAAACAACTAATTCCTAGACAAGCTTATTTTATAGACAATTTATTTTATAGACAACTCATTTTACAGATATTATTTTTATTAGATTAGAGTTAGAGTTAGAACTAGGGTTAGAGAAGTTTATAGGAATAAACTTATTTATGAAGTGAACTATTTATTAAATAAGTTGTCTATGAAATAAGCTTGTCTAGAAATTAGTTGTCTATGAAATAAACTTGTCTGTGAATTGATTATCTGTGAAATGGTATGTCTGTAAGTTAAGTATCTGTGAAATAATATGAATCTCTAAAAGGTAGTCTAATACTTATGTAATGAATTACTTAAATTAGATAATAATTAAAGTTATATATGTAACTTGTTATATACTCTTTATATAATTACAAATTATAAAAGTTGTTCATATATGATTTTATATATCAAACTAATAAAATTTGTTTAGTAATATAAGCTACCTTAAAAATAAATAAATTATATTAAAAATATAATAAAACTAATTAATAAAATTAGTAGAGTTAATTAACTTATATATAGTACTTATATTTTATAATTTGTAATAAATAAAATTTTTTTTTACTAGTTAAGATATTAGTTATATAAACAAAACAATTTATATAATTTTTATATTTTCTAAACAAAATAAATAGCTTGAATCAATATAAATATTATTAAATTATTATAGTAGTTAGTATAGTAGTTAGGTTACTAGATTATTATATAAGAGATCTAATATTTAAATCCTACTATTGACAAATTTGAATAATTATTTAAATATTTGTATCTAACTTTTAGTAAACTCTATATATTTCTGAAATTGTAACTTTGTAAATCAAATTGTACTAAATTAATTGAATTTTTTTTTCTTTAACAATTACGTTTATTTTATTTATGAAGCTATGAAGTTACAATTAGATAACTAGTTTAAAAAAAACCTTTTATATTATTACTCATTTTCTAATAAGAAGTACTATCTGATACTCTTTTGTATACTCAGATATAACCTGTTGCACTAGAAAATTTTCTTAATATAAAAGAAAAAATGAAATCTAAGAACTTTATCTGACTGTATAGAAGTCAGACTATATAAATATAGTAAAATTGTTAAATCTAGTAAAAGTATTAAGCATATATAGATAATAATTTAAGTTTAAAACTATACTAAAGAAAAACTTATAAGCAAGTTAAAAAACCTTAAAACAGTTAAAGAAATATGAAAGGCAAAAGAAAAACAAAACAAAAGGAAAAGAAAGGAAAAGTATCCTAATTCTAAATCTAACTTAACAAGGAATAGGAACTTAGACTAGATATTTAAAAATTATATATACAACTTGCACTTGTTTGTATATATCTATATAATTTCAATATATCTATTCGGTTTTTGTCTACATATATAGAGCTTGTTCATATGAATATTGTAGCCTAAAATAATAGCCCAAATTATAACATGACTATATATGTTTGTTGTTTTTTTTTTTTTTTTTTTTTTTTTTTTTTTACTTTATACAAATGCCATCGGCCGAATTTTTTATTGGTATTGATAGTGAGTAAATGATACATATTGTGAGAGTACAACTAGCCACATGTACAACTTTAGATTGTCTAATTTAAGTAGTTCACCCAAAGGTTCTACACTAGCTGCTATACCTAAAATCTATTTGAAGATTACCTATTTAAACTCTCTGGCCCTATGACACTTACCCGTACTCTATCCTTATTTTACCAAATTCGCCTAACCCCATGCTACTTCTCCTGGAAGATACCCGAGCTGATATTAGTTCACAAACTTTATGGTTCAGAGCCTAAACCCTATCACAAGGTATCTCTTCACCAACTCCCAAACCGATGGGGTGCTGTGGTACCCAACTATGCTATGCTATATCCCAATCTAGCTTGCATATACCCTTATTCGATGTTCGTACAAATCTGGTTCCTACCGTGACCTTCTACCGAATTGGTCCTCTATGTTTTCAGATGTTTCACGAGACAGATCCTCCCAATCCAGTTAGCCGCCAAGCCAGGTTGGTGTTGCCATACGACCTCGTGTAATGGACTTACTCGCACCCACTCGGTCGTATCTTTCAGCCACAAATTTCTTTACCGGATCAGGTGTAAACCAGTATGACCATCGAAATCCGTACTATTTCACCTAACTCGGGATTTCTACCATGCAGGTCCCTCATGCCCGTATATTCCATCAAGATTTATTTGTGTAACATTACGCCTCCTCAAACGCTTGTCACACTACCAATATCTGGTAATTTGGTGTAACTTAACTTACAGGGTTACAACTCCCAGAAACGAGCAGGGTTTACCGTACCAATTAAGATTCAAGGTCTAGGTATAATTCAAATTTTTGTCGACAGTAGGATTTGAACCCTAGACCTCTGCATGGCAGTCTGGCAACCTAACCACTACACTAAGATCACCAGACCTATATGTTTGTTGTTATACAACAATATGGCTATTTCAAAATAGTAATGACATGCATGCTAATCATCAGTAAGAAGCAAACTAGATTCCTACTTTTTGTTCAAAGAAAAAAACTTCAAGTTCACCAGATAGCTAAAGCGGTTCTCAAGACCAGCTTATAGTATAGAAAATAAGAGTAAATAATCCTAAAATAGCATGAAAAAATAAGGAGAATTATTGTATTTGACTCTATTTAAAGACTTTTTGTAACTTTTATATTCTAAGAACTTTTTTTAAATAGTAAAATATTTCAAGATACTAATAATCTATGTCTAGCTCGTGTCTACTCTTTATCAACAAGATATATTTTACTGAACTTCCAGTTTTTCTAGTCTTACTTATAAATATTTTGTTTAAAGATAGAATATATTTATATAATAAAAGTCTTTTTTTTTTTTCTGCTATTTTTAGTTTTAAGGATTATCAGAAAGAATATGATAGATGCCTAATTAATTGAATATTAGAAGTATGATATAATATTATATAAATAAATCTTAATAGAATCTATAAGCAGAAGATCTGTATAGTAGTAAAAATCTTAAAGAGTAAAGTAATATGATCTTTAATAGTTATATTAGTAAAATCTAAAATCTAAAAAAAGAAACTCAGATATGAAGATACAAGTAAATCTGATCTGCTAATTAGCAATACTAACTTAGCTAAGTATAGTGTTAGAATTCTATGCTCAACAGTTATACAAAGTATTTTTTTTTTTTTTTTTTATATCTTAACTGATCTTGCTTATCATTTTATTAAAAGAAAGCTTAAAAAAGCTACAAAATAATCTAATATATAACTATACTAATTTGTTCTCTCTAAACTATTCTGGACTAATTTAACTACCTCAAGAGTACCTATGTTCAATCTGCTACAAAAACTATTTTCATATGAAAACCTTGGTTTGTATATACAGACTTCTAGAATTCGATTAACAAAGATGACTTTTAGCCATATATTAAAATTCTAGATCCCTCTCTACCTAGTTGAAACTAAGTAAAGAGAAGTTAGTACCCCCCACTCTAAGAAATCAGCTATACAGCTGTTTTCATTATAAAAAATTGAATGAATAATTATATACCGATTCGTTAAGTTTTTGATTAGGCTTTTGATTTCGAACGTGATCAGACTGATCACGTCCAATTAATCAAAAACTTAACGAATCGGTATATAATTTTTATAAAAACACCAATAAAACAAAAAAAAAAAAATTGAATTTTAACCCGGCCAATTATGAAAATTAATTCATCAATTTTATATGGCCTTAGTATAAAGTTAACTCATAATTAAAATGATTATTATAAATTAAAATCCTTCACTTTCTTTAAATTTTTACTTTTGTAATTATTTATAATTATTTTTAATTTTTGTAATTATTTTTCACTTTTATAATTATTTTTCGCTTTGAAATTATCTTTTAATTTTGTTATATACATATTCAAAATAATTATAGAATCAACATATCGATTTTATTCTAACATATACTCTAGTCGCTAAATCACTCTTAGGTTCTTATTTTAATAATTTATAGCATTGGTTTAAAATTTTGATTGATGAGTTTGACACTATTAAACGAAAATGGAACATTTATTTGAGTTTTGGTTATCTCCCCAAATCAAATAGAAATCCTAAATCCAAATTATGTGGTAATATCAAAATTTCAAAAAAAAAAAAAAAAGATTTGAATCACAACCCTATCCAAGGTGCACCTTCTAAATGTATATAATAAAAAAAATGAGACCAAGACCATAATTATACTAGTTATAACGCAGGAATAATTATCAAACCTTTTGAAAGGGTTCAGCATCCTCATCATCAGATTCCACATATTTTCTGCTTTTTCGTTTTTTATTTTCCTCACCCCAAACTTCACTTTGTTTTTCAGTGTATTCACGTAATTGTTGATCAATTCTCCTCTGATTCTCTATTGCTCTCTCAATTTCTTCTCTTCTTTTTCGTTCCTCTTCCATCTTTAAAAGTAATAATCAATATGAGCATGAAATTATAAAATAATTTCAAATACAAATATATATATATATATATATATATATATACTTACTGCGATTATATCTTGCTCTTGTTTTTCTTTCTCTGCACGTTTTTGTGCTTCTTCTTCTTTCCTCCTTCTAATTTCTTCGTATTTCAATGCTTCATCAAGTTTTGTTTTAAGTGAACTCACAGTAGAATGTCCAAAATTAATACGCTGATTTAAAACCTCCTTATCAAAATTTACATGTGGCGACCCATCATTAACTAAATGCTCAAAAGTACTGAAATATTACAAAAAAAATTTTTTTAAATGTTTAGAGTCGGAAAAAACAAATAAATTAATTAATATAGTACTTACTGGTGAGCACATTCAACGTCTGCAATTGCGCTCATTAACTGCGCTGAAGATCGCATCTCTCCTGGTTCACCAATTAATTGTGCTCGGCTTTGTTGTATAAGTGCAACATTATGTACAATGAGTTTGTTTGTAGGTGCAAGTCTTAGAGCCTATATTATTTTGACATGTATGAACTTTGGTTTCAAAATCATTTTTTAAATAAGAATATATTCAATTATTTAAAATTACTTTTTCAGTCCAAATTAATGCTTCATCCATTTTTGCTAAATTTTTTGTTTCTTTAGCCAAAAGATAACAAGAACGACCAATCCATTCCAAAACCGAAACGTCCTTATTTTGGGATTTTTTGGAAACTCCTTCATACTATAAAATTGACTATTAAAATTAATTCACAAAATGAACAACTTATAATTATAATAAATATCCAAAATTACCGCAAGAATAGCTGCATTATGCTCGTTCATTTGACTGCAAACATGAGCGTAATTAATAATAATTTCCGGTATAGGATTATGTTCTTTTAGCTAAATACATATTAAAGTTATTATATACATCATAAATATAGAAAGATGATAAATAATTTGATTAGTACATACTTTCCAGAATAGATCTTTTGCTTCTTTAAATCTACCAGACTCCGCAATAGCAACAGTTATTCCATTAGCTGCCCATACATTTTTTGGATTTTTTTGCAGGGCTTTCTGAAAATATTCAACAGCTTTTTTATATGATAGTTCGCGAGATTCCTTTTCTTGTCTAAATGATCTTGCTTTGAAAAGATGTAAACTGCCTAACGCAGTTGAGGCTACTATATCATTTTTATTTTCTGAATGAATCGCATCAAGACTCCTGCGAGATATACGAAATTCACCCTGTCTTAATTGATTTACAGCCAATCTTTTGCGAACTTCAACGTTATCGCCAAATTCCAAGATCTCAGTATAAATATCATTAGCCTTTGCATTGTTACCATGGATTTCTTCAATTGCTGCCAAGCGTAAATACGCTTTAAAATCATTAAATTAAAGTATCAATAGATGTGTCTGACAAATTTATAGAATCGAAGAAATATAAAAGAATAATACCTGGAATGAATGCTGGATGTTCATTAAGAATTTGATTATATAAATCCTGAGCTTCTTTAAAATTATGTGAGGCTTCATAAGAGCGAGCTAAATTATAAAAGAGGGTTATTCTAACGTCCGATTGCGGAGAATTAAGGTTCTCGCATTTTTTCAAGGCCTCTCTATAACATTCAGATGCTTCCGCATACTGGCCTGGACAATAAATTAATATTAGAGTTAATAGTGTGATCAGTCAACTACAATAAAAATTTCAAAATACGTGTAGAATCTACTTACCAAGCTTAAAAAACATGTTTCCTTTTTTGTTAAACAGTTCAAGTGGAATCGGATCTTTGGCTTTTAAATACATAGCTTCAGCCAGTTTTAATGCTTATAAAATATGAATAGGAATTATATACATTACAATATTCAAAAAAAGCAATAGAAAATTTCCATGTTAGTAGACTAACCTTGAAGACTTTTATAAGCATTTTTCCCTTCAATCGCATGTGCCTTGACTATAAATATTTCAGGATTATCATATGTTTTATCGGAAATAGCTTTAGTTATTGTATTAAACTCTTCAAAAGCATTATCTCTTTTCGTTGAATCAGTTTCATCGAGGGCAGTATTGGCAGCTAAAATCGCCAATATCTGAAATTTTATAATAATCAATTATATTAATTAAAATAATAATAATAATAATTTTATAAATATTGCAATCAATTCAACATACCGTTACAACATCAAGAAAATTTGGATTTTGACGCCTCAATGTCTCAAATATGATTTTTGCATCCTCATAGCGTTCTATTACATAAACATCGTTAAATAATGAAGAATAATTATGTATTTGAAAATGAAAGTTATAAGTTACCAAATTTTATTAACATTTGACCATAACCATAAATTGCGAGCAAATGATTTTCATTGTAATTAATGGCTTGTGTGTAATGATAAAGTGCTTTCATATGATCCTCCTGGAAAATGTAAGAATACGAAATTTGATGTTATTTCATAAGAAAAAAAAAGATATATAAAAAAATAAAAATCACCAATCAAGTATTTAAATACCATAACATGATAGGCTCTAGCTTGATTAAAATGTGCTTCGGCTAGTATAGGTTTTGAATCTGTATTTTCTTCGGCGCGTCTCGCAGCTTCGATGAGCTAATAATGCAAAGGAAATATGTTAATAAATGAATTTTTATATGAAAACTTATTACTATAAAATTATTATGATAAAACTTTATACATTTTCGAAATCTCTCTGAAAGAAAAAACCATGAGCCAATAAAATCAAAGCACTGGAATGATTAGGATTTAGCTCAAGAGCTTTATTAGCACGATCCATTGCGGTAACAAAATTAGTTAATCGATCAATTTCATTAACTTCTTCAAATTGTTTAGAGATATCAAGCTCAAGGGTAGCAAGAAGGATATTTGCAGATATATTATTTGGGTTCTGATTTAGGGAAATAAATATAAATTATGAAGGAACAAAATCTAGTAATATAAATAATAATAAAAAATTTTAAGGTATTTACTAATTCAAGAGCTCTATCAAATGCTGCAATAGCTTCATCAAAATTTTGCAACTTATTAAAACAGAGGCCAATACCAACACGTGGATCAGGTTCAGTAAGGTCAGGTTTCAATCGCAAAATTTCCTGGTAAAGTTTAAGAGCTTCCTTATATTCTTGGCGAAGATATTTAATGCGAGCCTACCAAATACCATAATTAATAAGAGATAGATTATTAAAAATGAATATAGAATCTACTTTAATACCATGCCAAACAATGCAGGAATGTTATGATTTGCAAGGCCATATGCGTTTTTAAATGCATTATAAGCAGCATCTGGATCATTCCGACCAAGGTAAATGAATCCTTGAATAAAAATTTTCACAATATTAAATTTGATAGATTTACAAACGAAATTGAAAAGTTTTCCAAAAGAAAAAGTACCTTTCACGACCCAAGTTATTGGATTTTGTGCACTGATTGATGAGACAGTATTTAATTGCCTAATCGCTTCGTTTAGTAACTCAGATTTTTGCGATTTATCTTTTG